AAACTAAGCCCAAGCCTGAGCTGAAGCCGAGGTTTCTGTTAGACCTAAGCCTACTTAAGTTCATCTAAAGCCTAAAACCTGCTAGACACTTACGGCAGTCTAGCGAGGATTTTTTGGGAATTCGTTACGCAATTCTTATATTCAATTTTTTTCCAGGAATATCTACCGAAAAACCCGCCGACTCTCCCTCCCTTTATTTCGCCAAGCCAGCCGCCATTTTCTCTCGGTAAGCTTATAGAATATTTGTGCTTAATTTGGGGGCTTAAACACAGCAGAAATCAGACGTAATTTAGGTCGGCAGTATTTAAAAATGTCAAACAAAAAGGGTGACGATTAGAATTCAAGCTCGTGCTCCTGTTTTTGCTAAAAATCTCACAAGTTTAAAACTACTTTTCAGGCTCAAACCTGCTCTTCCCCACCCCTTCTCCCCTTCGAAATGGCTTTGAGCTTGGCACTCTGCCAACGTTTCCAACACCCCCACCCCCACAACCCATTCCAACGATGGACCCGCGGTGGATGAACTCTTTTAATGGCTCAGCCCTGATGGCCCCCGTCAATTTCACCGTCGATCCGGAGGCCCTGATGACGGTGGTCAGTTATATTCAGCCATACCTTACGTTTCCGGGCCTCAATTGTACATTACATTCCAATAAAGTTACATTTCTATTGCTTTAGCTTTTGATTTTCAGTTTGAAATATTTTTTAAGTAATTTTGGGGCTAGGGAAAGCAGTCAAGGGATATTAGAAGCGATAGACTCTAAACTACAGGCTACAAACAAGGGCGAACAAACAGCGCTTACGGACTACACGATATAGAACTACAGGCTACAAAATATTGCGAGAAATAGCGGCTACAAACTACATAACTACATTGACAAGACACTACACTATACAGTCGTTAAAAAACGGACGCTATCAAATGCAGAGAAAAAAGCGCAAAGCTGTCACTACAAACTACAAGCTACAACCCACCAAATTCTAGCCCGAGATCATCACCCATTGGGGGTACCCGGTGGAAGAGTATAATGTCGTCACCAGAGATGGATATATTTTGACTTTACATCGGATACCTTACGGCAGGAAAGGTAGGAAAAAGTAGCTTTTTGCCTAACTTTCTCCAGGTCCCTCGAGGAAGCCGAGACCTGTCGTCTTGCTTCAGCACGGACTGCTATGCACCAGCTCGATTTGGCTGCTGAATTTGCCGAGCCAGAGTGCAGGTAAGGATGCGAGAGAAGAGAGAGGGGAGAGAGAGCGAGAGAGAGCGAGAGAGAAAGAGTGACGACATTAAGGCTTCGTATTTGCCGACGCCGGATTTGACGTCTGGCTTGGAAACATGCGCGGGAATACCTATTCAAAAACCCACTATAGCATGGACGCAAAAGAATCGAGATTTTGGAGGTAAGTGGCCAGCTGTCACAGCCCCTTTAAACCTCGAATTTCCAGATTTTCTTGGGAGGAAATGGCACGCTATGATTTGGATGCGATGGTAGACGGGGTGTTGAACGTTACACAACAGGAGCAGGTCGGGAGAGAGAGAGAGAGAGAAAACTTCCGTAAAAAACGCCATCATCGAAAAATTCCAGCTATACTACGTTGGCCACAGCCAGGGCACTCTCACCATGTTCGCCAAGCTCGCCACCGACGCCGTGTTTGCCCGAAAAATTCGGAAATTCTTCGCGCTGGCCCCCGCGGCGAGGCTGGTCAACGTGAAGGGAATGTTCCACACCATCGGGGAGGCGTATCCCCAGTTGAAGGTATCCAAAAGCCAAGCAACCCGTTACCAAGAAAACCCTGTAGCTGTTCTACGAGATGATCGGCGACCACGAGTTCCTGCCGAACAACATGTTCACGCGCCTCTTGACGGACATGTTGTGCGACAAGAAGATGAAGAACCCGATGTGCGAGGATTTCATCTACCAGGTATGGTTCGTCGCGCGCCCGCGACGCGCCTGCACGCGTGACGCGCGACACCCTGACGCAATTTCCGCTAAAAGCCTTTTCGTTTTCTCTTTGTAGCTCGAGCCCTCATTCAGGTGTCGGGCCCCGATTCGAACCAGCTGAACAAGACGCGCATCGGCATCTACCTGGCGCACAACCCGGCCGGCACGTCGTGGCGCAACCTGGTGCACTACGCACAGATGGTCAAGTACGGCCGGATGCGCCCGTACGATATGGGGGTGGAGAAGAGCAAGATGATCTACAATATGGTAGGTGGAGCTGTCGATAGCCAGTCTTGGAAGGCGTTGATTTATTGCCGTTACCGGTTGCTTTAAAGGAGCTCGCAAGGCATGACTATGTCTTTCAGCCATAGATTATGGATATTGCGGTGCCTGTCACATGAGGGAGAGTAGAGAGCGAGAGAGGGAGGGAGAGAGAGCGAAAGACAGAGAGAGAAAGAAAGAGGTAGAGAGATAGATAGATAGAGAGAGAGAGAGAGAGAGAGAGAGAGAGAGAAAGACAGAGAGAGGGAGAGCGAGAGAGAAAGAGCGAGAGATAGAGAGAGACAGAGAAAGAGAGGGCAAAAATCAATACTCCTGCCTGGCCGACTCGTATAAACCCCCAAGCTTCAGCCTCATCCACCCGAGTTCAAACTGTCGAACATTGACGTGCCGACGTACCTCTTCTACTCGGACTCGGATTGGCTGGCCACCACCGAGGGAGTGGAGGGCTTTATATTGCGTCAAATTGACGAAAAGCACATCCGGTTGAAGAGGTACGCCTTGGGAGTGATTAGAGAGGTATTGGGAATTTCAGGAAGCTCCAAGACTTCAACCACAATGATTTCCTGTGGGGGCAGAGGGCGAAAGAGGAGATATATGATGTGATTATTGAGGCTGTGAAATATGACCATCGGAGGAGACGGCTGAAGGACGGGGTTCAGAGATATTTGAAAGGTAAACGTTTCCTTCTCGTTCTCGTTCTCACTCCCTCAATCTATTTCTCTCTTGCGCCTCCGTCTCTCGCTCTCTCTATCGCTCTCTCTATCTCTCACTCGTTCTCTCTATTTCTCGCTCTTTTTCTCTCTCTCTCTTTCCCTCTCTCTCCCCCCCTCACTTTCTCTGTCACTCCCTCCATCTCTCTGTCTATCTCGCTCCCTCTCTCTCATTCTGTCGCTCTCCGTCTCTGTATTGTCGTCTCTCCCTCCCACTCTGTCTTCCTCTCTCTCATTCTGTCTCTCATTCTGTCTCTGTCTGTCTCTCTCCCTCTCTCTCTCTCTCTCTCTCTCTCTCTCTCTCTCGCTCTCTCTCTCCCATAAACCATCATTTCTAGCAAAAGCCGGCCTCAACCACAACGAGACCCATGACTCGTTCCTGCAAAGCCTGCTCAGCTAAATCGCCCCCAGCCGCTCTCCCTCCGCCCCACTACGGTTGACGATGAATCTCACGATTTTTTTGGATGTATATAAATCTGTATCTTGACAAAATATCTCTATAACACTCACGCTCCTGGACGCCGGTTGGCGACACGAAAATCCCGGAGCCGATGATGCAACCGACGATGATGCTCACCCCGTTGAAGAGGGTCATGCTCTTCTTGAGACCCTGGAAATAGGGGGTTTTATAAAATTTGGCGCACTTTAATTCTGAGGGGACGAGAGAGAGAGAAGGAGAGAGAGAGAGAGAGGGCGAGAGAGAGAGTACGCGAGAGATAGATCGAAAACTTTAGTCGAGAAATCCTTACCCCAGCTTCTCCATCCCCATCGATCACTTCCGGATCGCCAACTTTTCTGTCGAGCGGCTCGAGCTCACGCGCATTTTTCTTGCCCATCTGAACACGTAAAAATTCATACAGTATCGCGTGAAATAGAAAACAGATTAGGAGAACAATACAGGGGTCAATTTGAGAACCTGAGAAATTAGCTGGTGGGCCAGCTGGCACTTGTTCTTTATCCAGCTCTATTGTTCTAACAATTTGATCAAAATTGGCGGACTTGCAAAGATCCCTTAGAAACGGTAAACTTCAAATTTTCATGACGTAACTGGCGAAAGCTATGAGTCAAGTACGGAGTTATCTAATCATGAATTAGATGCAGGCGCCTGAAAAACTGAGAGTTTGGCTCTAATCTAATGTCTTCCGGGGTTACGTCACACAAAAAAAAGGCAAATGCCTGCCCTGCGTACTTTGCGCCGACATTCCGGGTGCATTTCAGGGAAATTGGGGGTGCGATGAATCAGAGCCGTGTCCCCGGGCCCAAGACCCATATCGATCCCATGATCTCCATCCCGGGTACAAGCCAAAGAATTGGAAATGAATTATTCATCGTCTAGACTTGTCGGTGAAGCCGTGATCGGGTATATCGATAGATGGGCAAAGGAATTGGGAACAAAATATGGAAATCGAAATTCGTACGGTCCATATTTTCATATTTTTTGAAATTTCAGAATTCTTAAATACAGCCCATCTGAATTTCAATTTCAATCAGCCCTGCCAAAGCTTCCTTAAAGTCTATTAATGCACAATTAATGCAAAATCGATCGCGCACCAAGGTCATTGATAACAATTTAGGTTTCGGTTGTAAGTCCTATTAGTGCGCCGAAAACCGATAAATTTTATCGGTCGTCTATTGCTCTAACATATAAATAGAGTAAATTTTTTCAACATTACAAAAAACGCAAATTTTTAATAGCAATTTGAGTTCTAAAAATCTACTTAAATCCATTAATATAGACGATCTAAAAATATCATCTATTCGGCTAGTCGCAATAGATAAAATTTGATAAAACTATCTATGAATGCGTTAAACAGTTCAAACTTGGAATATATGCGAACATTTACGAATTAGCATGCCCGGGGTCCAAGTGCAGACTTTGGGCGCCAGCCTCTCGGGCAGCCGTGCCTTTTGACTGGCAGGTGGGAGCCACCCCTCAACAGCCCCCTTCCCACCCCACCTCCCATCCTCCGTTGTGGTCTAGTGGTTAGGATTTATGGCTCTCACCCATAAGGCCCGGGTTCGATTCCCGGCAACGGAAGAACTTTTTGCTTTTTGGCGCAGCGTTTTGGAAGATGGTCAGCAACACATGGAGGGTTGTTTTAAAGCTTCAGGATCTGTTTTTAGCTTTATTCGGAACTAGTATTTGAAGTATAAACTGATATATGTCAGGCATTAGAGCAATAAGCGTCAAAACACGTTAAATTTTTCTTTAAAATTAAAAAAACCGATAATTCCACTAACAAATAACAATCTGTACAGTTATAATATGAACGTGAGTGCTGTGGGGTGTTGTGGGAACTCAAAAAGCGACAGCCGCTTATTTATGGCTGGGGGTCAATGGCGAGGGGAGAGCGGGTGGCGCGGCGAAGGGTCGACCGGGGCAAAAAGAGGATGCTATCAAAACAGATCAATACCGCCGAACATTCAGATTATTTTATATGAGCCAGTGTAGTCGCAAAACGTCTCATTTTATTTGAAAACCAATTAAAGGAGATCGGCCTTGGAGATGCTCGGCACATTAATGACGCAGAGCGGAGGGGGTCCAGAAAAAATCAGAAACTATGATGTAGCCAGAATGAGCTGTAAATACCAAAATAAAGCGGTGTCCAAACTGTCCCGACCGGGAGAAGGAATATTATTGTTGCAGTGTGGCATACATGGATCGAGTGGCTTGACTGTAGCCCCGGACTGCACATCCGGCCGGGCAGCTATCTAAACAACATGACCCCTGCATGTCGGGTCACACTGGCAACCTGCCAACCGATTACGCTATGATATCCCGTTCTCTCTCTCTCTCTCTCTCTGACTACCTTTCTCTCTCTCGCTCTCGCTCTCGCTCTCGCTCATTCTCTCTCTCTCTCTCTCTCGCTCTCTCTCTCTCTCTCTCTCTCTCTCTCGTTCTCTTTCTCTTTTCTTCAACGAACCCGTCGCCTTGCCTTTAAATTTGAGCAATTGTTTTTACTAGCTGCTTAATAAATTTTTCTGAGGAACTTCTCCGAATCACCCCACCCCTCCAACCAGTAAACAAGCAAAAAATTGCGCTCCCAGCATATTCCGCCCTCCGATCTTTGCGTGATAAGGTTTGCGTACAAAAAGCGGCGTTCAGATTGAGCACCCAACCCGATTTTTCCCCGCTTTTTATTAAATTTAGCTATTTTCCTTAAACTCTAGTTTCTTATCCAACCTTGGAATTTACAGGTAATACAAGAAACGATGCTGCTCCCCCCACGTGACGTCAAGCTCCCCATTCGCCCGTGCATCGATTGCATCGACTGAACATCGAGCTAGCCAGTAATTGTGAGTCAGTTACCATAATTTTAAAGGACCGGGCAAGTTTGAAACGGCTATGAATTTCCATTGGCGCATAAATGCAATCTTTCCATTTTCAGTTACACTTCAAGGTGCCGTCAATGCCGAAATGTTGATGAATGCTGGTGTAGTTAATAAATGGTTCTAGTCCGTATTTGTGCTAATTACACCCCAAAGTTAACCTTAAAAAGCTGTGTTAGTAGTATTACAATGGTGTACATGGCGATACATCAACTTATACGTTCTAATGCCTTCCGTAACACCGCACGTCGCTATAGCTTTTATGGGATTATCGACAGCAGCCCCCTCCTCGTCGATTCCCAAGTACCATTCTCGGTGTCCGGGTTGGTCAGTGTCAGTAGTAGCCGAATGGAACGGACGGCTTTTATGGAGCGTCTCCCCCCGGGGGCACCGGTCTCTCCCACCATACCATCCGTCTTAATTTATTCACGGGTACCTGTGGGGGTGGAGGGTGGAATGGACTGTCGGCGTATGGCTTTATAGCGGTCGAAGTTCTCTCTCTCTCTCTCTCTCTCTCTCTCTCTCTCTCTCTCTCTCTCTTTATCTCTCTATCTCTCTCGCGCCCTCTCTTTATCTCGTTCTCTCTCCCTTTCGCTCTCTCTCGCTCTCTCTCTCTCGCCCTCTCTCATTCTCTCTAGCTCTCTCGTTCTCTCGTTCTCTCTAGCTCTCTCGTTCTCTCATTCTCTCGTTCTCTCATTTACTCTCTCCCTCACTCTCTCGTTCTATCTCTCGCTCTCGCTTCCAGAACTTAAATTCAAGGTTTTCGATTTTTTTCGAATAGATTTGTGTTCTTCGATTCGGTAACAAATCGCCTAATTAGCATATAATAGCCCAAGAAATGGGGTGCGAATTGTGGTGTCCAGGTGGAGGATAGAAGGGAGCCCATGGACGAGGCCTAGGTGGTTGCATCACCCGGGTTGTCGGGTCTTTGTTCTACGCGAAGGGTGAGGGCCCCAGAAATCGTCTAATCCCACCCCGACAACCCCTTTTTGAGAGGCTGTATTCTACATCGATACCCTCGGTATATGTTTTAGGCGAATTTTCAACGTCAATTTGAATTTAGTAAAATTCAAAATTAAACTTAAAATCCATTTTGACCTGTAGCTAAATGGTAAGTGGGCAGTTTCCCACCCGCAAGGCCCGGGTTCGATGCCCGTCCGGTGCTGGGCTTTTGATAGATTAAAGTTCAATTTTTTTAAGAGAGGAAAGCTATTTTAATCGCCGCGACACGCAACGCGCTGCGGTCGCGTCGCGATCCCGGACGGACAATTACATTGCGTTGCGCGGTTGCATACTTCTAAAAATCCCTGCTAGCCTCCCCATCAACTCCAAACGGCCAATATTTCGTGACCCCCTTAAAAAATCTGCGTCCATTTTTCTTCCCCGGCTGTCTGCACGGATTGGCGTCCCGCCGGGCGCCCCTCACCAACAACGAAAAATTGCGTGGCGCCAAAATTTAGCGTCTCCCGTTTTCGCTGGTGCTCAAGGCTATGTGAAAATTGTAGGTGGTACGGTGGATTCCAATGTCATTTTTGGGACCAGGTCGGCACTTCGGCGCGTCGGCATTTTGGGCTGTCGTATCGGCATTTTCTTTAAATTTCGGCATGCCCTGTGTCGGCGTTTGGATCGACGGTATTGTGGTACGTAGACATTTTGGCTTGTCGGTATCTTGGGCTGAATGTTGGGGTTTGGCGCGTGGGCATTTTGGATTCACGCCATTGCGGGGCGTCGACATTTTTGCTTGTCGGCATTTGGTTTGATGGGATTGCGGGACCCCGGAATTTTGGCTAATCGGGGTTTTGGGCTCTCTTGTCGGTATTCTAGGGTCACGGCATTGCGGGCGTCGGCCTTTTGGCTTGTCGGGATTTGGCGCTTTCTTGTCGGTATTTTAGCCGATAGTCGGGATTTTGGGTGTTGGCGTTTGTATTGATGGGACTGCGTGGTCTTTTCCTCAGCTGGTCGGATTTTTGGGCCCAAACCCTCAACTATCGGAGTTTCAAATTTCGACATCTTCGCTACATAAAAAATCCACATTATTACCCTTTAGAGTCCTTTATTAAAACGTTC